GGTGGAGGGGAGCTATGGGGGGGAAAAAGAGGAACAACTGTAATAATCTGAACAATAGAGATTTAATAAATTTTTAAAAAAGGAATTTAAATTAAAAATAAAATAAAATGGGGAAAAAAATAGGGGGGTAGCCTGGCCGGTATGGTTCAGTGGTTGAACATACATCTATGAACCAGGTCACAGTTCGATTCCCGGTCATTGCACATGTCAGGCTGTGGGCTCAATCCCCAGTGGCGTTGTGCAGGAGGCAGCTGATCGATGATTCCATCCTATCACTGATATTTCTGTCTATCTCTCCCTCTCCCTTTCCCTCTGAAATCAATAAAAAATATATTTAAAAAAACAAGAGATGCTCAATTCCACTATTAATGACAAACAAAACAATGAAATTACTATTTTTCACCTATCGAATTAGCAACTGTATAAAAAATTCATAGCATCCAGTATAGCCAAGGTTGTAGGAAATGGAGATACTCACACATGGTTCTGAGTGAATGCACAAATTCTTACAAACTTTTGAAATGCAATTTCACAGAATTTGTTAAAATTTAAAATGCACATATCCTTTCTACAAATCTATCTAATGCAAAAGGCTAACTATATAAGGATGTTCATTATGGCACTGTTTATAAAACAGACAAAAATTGGAACTAAGCTAAATGTTCATCAGGATGGGTCTGGAAAACTAAAGTACAAACATAAGTTGGAATACTATGCAACAATTCTAAACTGAGCCTGGCTGGTGTGGTTCAGTAGTTGAGCACTGACTCTGAAACACAAGGTCACAGCTCATTCCCAGTTGGGTTTTGGCTCAATTCCCAATGGGATGTGCAGGAGGCAGCCAATTAATGATTCTCTCTCATCACTGATGTTTCTCTTTCGCTCTCTCTCCCTTCCTCTCTGAAATCAACAATATATATATATATTTTTTAAAAGATGTGAACTCACTTAGATGTCTAAAAGACACTGAATGGCATACTGTACGTGCTCAAAAATGTTCTAAATGGGAAAAAAAATTTTTTTTGTATGAACAGAAAAAGCCTGGAAGTATATATACCAAATTGACAAAAATGACTACCTTCAGGAGCATGGGGCAGTAAGAGAGGGAAACTAAACATTTTTTACCTTTTATCCTTTTGTTGCATAAATTGTTAAAATAAATGAGCTAATTTGTAAAAACTTATTGCTGACAGTTTCACTCCATTTTATCTCAATTTTATGATGATCCTAAGAGCGAAAAAACTTGCTGCCAGTGGCTCAACTAATGGACTGCCCAAGGAAATGAAACCTGTGTGCAAAAAGTGGCTGGGAGCCCTGACTGGTTTGGCTCAGTGGATAGAGCATCGGCCTTCGGACTCAAGGGTCCCAGGTTCGATTCCAGTCAAGGGCATGTACCTTGGTTGCGGGCACATCCCCAGTAGGGAGTGTGCAGGAGGCAGCTCATCAATGTTTCTACCTCTCCCTTCCTCTCTGTAAAAAAAAATCAATAAAATATAGTTTTAAAAAAATTTATAAAACTTAATTCCTCTCCCAGCTGACTGGGCCTGATAGAAACCTCAAGTAATGACAACCTCGGCCCAGTTACGTGAAATGGTGGGATTACGAACTATTCTGGCTCTGTTTGGGGCACCAGGTTCAAAAGCGACTGAGAGAATGTCCACGAAGAACGTAGGTAGAGTGATGGCGCTTTTTTGAGGAGTCTCTGGCAAAACCTTTAAAAGCACCTAGCCGCTCCGTCATTTCTGGGCCTCCGTTCCTGCCCTCAGTCAAGATGGCCGCGTGGGGCTCGCCCGCACCCCGGCGCATGCGCCGTACCACCAGCCTCCTTTCTCCGCGAAGGCACCGCCTACTCACGCACCAGCTACACCCCATTCCCTGCGTCCTCGGCAGCACCCCTTTGCTAGCTGTCCCCGCCCGGCCAGGCTCCCCAGCCCGGAAGTGGATATAGCTGTGCAGCGGAGAGGACGAGGGGGAGGGGAAAGTGCTTCCGGGGAAGCAGGCCCGGGGTTGGTGTTTGTAAACTTGCCTCGGTCCCGGCGGGGGCAGCGGCGGCCACGGGGTTGGCACAGTGTACTGGGCCTGGAGGAG